ACAATGAGAGCACAGAAGACAGTAGAGAAGAGGGTTTTCTCAGAAGGTGTAAAATATCTTTGTTGCCTTGCTCAGAATTCTTTTCTCAAAACTGATTGAATGTAAATTATATTTTCTAATTCTGTAATTGTGTGTTTTTTATTTTTCATCAAAACTTAATTAAATAGAAAAATAACATCAAAAAATGGTCGTTGGACATTAATATTTTCGTGAATAAAAATCAGGATATATTCAAAAATATTTATTCTTCAAAACAAATATATTTTTCAAATTTGAATTGTCATAATTGATTATGTTACCAATATAATCAATTATGATAGAGAAAAATATTTTTCCATTTCTCATGCATCATTATTGATTATGACAGTGAAAAATATCATGTTATGAATTTTATCACACTTGTGCTTTTGAGGCTTATGCATAATATTACTTCATCAACTTGTACCTCCATATCTAGTATTCTAAGACTCTATCTAGTCTTCAGGAATCATCTTGGGCTTGCTTGAATCATCATCTTTATCAAAAACATATCTTGGGCATGTAGGGAAATGTTTCACATTTTCACCAACATCTTAAATTCAGTTTGTCCTTAATTCATCTTGAATGGTGTTGACTTGAATGTAGTTGACTTGAATCATCATCAAAATCATCTCTTGGGAATGTAGGGACATTTCCATCAATCTCCCCCTCATTGCTTTCAATCTCCCCATTTTTGATGATGATCAAGGAAACACTTGAAATGAATTAAAATGCTTGACTCTATATAGCCACCTCAAGATTAGCACAAATTTGTATCAAGTGTCAGAGTCTCTTAATCTCCCCCTGGATATATTAATAACAAGACTCCCCCTAACTCATATGAGCAAAGACTCCTCTTAACTCCCCTTGTTTAATTTAGAGATAGGAAAGAATTTCACACAGATTTTAATTCATCAAAAAATATCTCTCTATTTCATTGATAATCATAAAAAAATATTATAAGAGAAAAAAATCTCCCCATATTTCACACAGATTAATATCATCAAAATATCTCCTTATTTCATTGATAATTATGAAAAATATTGTAATAGAAATTGAGAACAAATTTGCACATATTAGTACATAAATCAAGGTAAAGAAGATAATGCATTACAAAGTGTCATAGAGAAGAACGTCATATTAAGGAGGCAATATCTAGGATACCCAAGAGAAATGAAGAGAGCGAAAGATAGGGGAATAGAATGATTATAGAGATAATGGAATGAAATCCAGTAGTTTCCCCCAATTGCAGTCTTCTTATTTAGGCAACTTTCAAATTCAAATGCACTCATATTCCAAATTTCAAATTCAAATTGCAACAAATTTCAAATTTAAATTCTAACAAATTCCAAATTTCAAATTCAAATTTATAATCCCAAATTTCAAATTCAAATTTCAAATTTCAAATTCCAATTCAAATTCAATTTCAAAAATCTCAAACTGCAAAAATTTCAAATTTCAAAATCTCAAACTGCAAATTTTTAAAAAATCTCAAACTGCAAAATTTCAAATTTCAAATTTCAAATTGCAAAATTTCAAATTCCAAGAATCTCAAACTGCAAAATTTCAAACTTTAATAATTTCAAATTTTCATAAATTCAATCTTTCAACATAATTGATTATGACAACAAGAAAAAAAATTCTGATTCTGATAATCAATTAGATGCTGAAACTATCATCTAGACATATATAAATGCTTTGTTCCTTTAGGCACCCATTCATATTTACCATTAGATATGACAAAATGTTTTATGTAACATCTATTTGATGTATGACCTAATTTCATGCAATAAAAACATGTTGGTTTTCTTTGAAAAGGTCTAAATGAGTTTCTTAAAGTTTTAACTGGTTTCACATCTGTTTTCCTTGACTCTTTCACAAAAATAGTTTTATGATGTTCTAGACTTTCTTTGGGTTTGTAACCAAGTCCAGCTTTGCTAGAATTCCCTCTTTGATAACCTAATATAGAATCAAGATTTTCAGAAGGTTTTGAAAACTTGCTTATTATTTTCTCTAACTTGAAAATCTCATTTTCCAAAAGATTACAATTTTCACAAGGTTTAGCAGCTTCTTTATTTTTAGACAAAGTTTTAAATTTCTCAACATCTTTCTTTAAGCACTCATTTTCTTTTTCAAGAATACCAACAGTATTTTCTAATGCATTAAACTTTTGCCTAAGTACATTGTATTTCTTAGATAACTTGGTAAAACCTTCATACATATCTTGATATTCTTTAAACAAATCATCATATTCATTTAAGGATTTTGTACTACTTACCTGTGATGATGCTTCATCATCACTTTTTGTCATCAAGCAAAGATTTAATTCTTCTTCTCCATCACTGCTTTCGGAAGAACTCTCTTGTGTTGTGGAAGAATCATTATCCACCCAAGTAATATAAGATTTGTGTTTTCTCTTATAGATATTATTCTTCTCTTTCTTCTTCTCTTTCACATCTTTCTTCTCTTTCTTAAGTTCCGGATAGTCTGGTTTGATATGGCCAAACTTTCCACATTCATAGCAATGGTATTTATTTATTTTCTCCTTTCTTTGATGTCTCTTTTTCCTGTTCTTCATAAAACGAGAAAATTGTTTAACAAAAAGAGACATCGGAATCCGAAAACTTACCTTCATTTTCGTTTTTGTCTTGTGAAGATTTTTCTGCTTTTAGAGTTATCGTCTTAGTTTGATTTTGTTCACCGTTCTTTAACCTTTGTAGCTCCATCTCATGTTCTCGCAGCTTTCCAAATAGAGTAGAAATATTCATTTTTGTGAGATATTTTGATTCTGTAATAGCAGTGACATTTGGTTGTTAATTCCTGTCTAAGGATTTTAAGATCTTTGTGCTCAACTCCTCATTGTCAAAACTTTTTCCTAATGCTTTCAAGTGATTTATTATATGTGTGAAGCGTGTCTGGAAATCTGTGATGTTTTCATTTTGCTGTATTTGAAATAATTCATACTCCTGGATGAGTGTGTTCTTACGTGCTCGCTTTACTTCATTTGTTCCTTCATGTGTTACTTCAAGAGTGTCCCATATTTCTTTTGCCGTCTTACATTGTGAGACCCTGAAAAATTCATTACGAGTTAAGGCAACAATAATAGCATTTCAAGCTCTTACATCATAATGGGCACGCTTATTTTCATCTGGCGTCTATTGATCAAAAGTCTTTGGAACAGCTCTAGACTCCGTTGTTCTCATCGGAATGTAGGGACTGTTGAGTACAACATCCCAAACACCGTAATATAGTGTTTGTAAAAATATTTTCATTCTCGCCTTCCAAAACTGATAGTCTTCTCCTTTAAATAATGGTGGTCTGTTTATTGAGGCTCCTTCCTTGTAAACCTGATTCTGCATAGGCATCTTGACAGATCATTTAGAAATATCTTATCTAACCAAGCTCTGATAACTTTCTAGACAAATGACATCTAGAGGGGGGGTGAATAGATGCACAAATTAAAATAGATGTCAAATTAAAAATTTATTTATGAGACAATAATTTGTTTGAACACAGATAAAGCGGAAGCGATAATATAATTAGGAAAAGAGAAAGAGATAAGGGAAAGAGAAGAGTACACAAAGATTTATACTGATTTGGGTATAGCCAACCCTACATCCAGTTCCCATTCAACTCTTAACACAAGAGTGACTCCCAATTCATTATCTTTCAAATTCAGTTTACAAATTACAATCAACTCAGCAGAAGAACCAGTAAAAAGTAAACTAATTAAAAAGACAATCACCTCCTTAGAAACCCACTAAGGATGAACACCTCCCTAGAATCTCACTAGGGTTGAACACCTCCCTAGAATCCCACTAGGGATGAACACCTCCACTGAACAAATCAAAGGATGAAAAACACCTCCTTAGAATCCCACTAAGGATGAACACCTCCCTAGAATCACACTAGGGATGAAAACCTCCTTTGAACAAATCAAAGGATGAAAACACCTCCTTAGAATCTCACTAAGGATGAACACCTCCCTAGAATCACACTAGGGATGAAAAGTACCTCCTTTGCCACCAATACACAAAGAATGAAGGTAATAAAAATAAGAACAGTCACACCTGGGTAATGGAGACAACAAATTGTAGAAGTCTATAGAATGTCAATCTCCAAGAACAAGTGTGATTAACAATGAGAGCACATAAGGCAGTAGAGAAGAGGGTTTTCTCAGAAGGTGTAAAATATCTCTATTGTCTTGCTTAGAATTCTTTTCTCAAAACTTATTGAATGTAAATTGTATTTTTGAATTCTGTAATTGTGTGTTTTTAATTTTTCATCGAAACTTAATTAAATAGAAAAATAACATCAGAAAATGGTCGTTGGACATTAATATTTTCGTGAATAAAAATTAGGATATATTCAAAAATATTTATTCTTCAAAACAAATATATTTTTCAAATTTGAATTGTCATAATTTATTATGTTACCAGTATAATAAATTATGATAGAGAAAAATATTTTTCCATTTCTAATGCATCATTATTGATTATGACAGTGAAAAATATCATGTTATGAATTTTATCACACTTGTGCTTTGGAGGCTTATGCATAATATTACTTCATCAACTTGTACCTCCATATACAGTATTCTAAGACTCTATCTAGTCTTCAGGAATCATCTTGAGTTTGCTTGAATCATCATCTTTATCAAAAACATATCTTGGGCATGTAGGGAAATGTTTCACATTTTCACCAACGTCTTAAATTCAGCTTGTCCTTAATTCATCTTGAATGGTGTTGACTTGAATGTAGTTGACTTGAATCATCATCAAAATCATCTCTTGGGAATGTAGGGACATTTCCATCAATCTCCCCCTCATTGCTTTCAATAACCTAGTGGATAAAACAGAGAGATGTTAAGGATAAACAAATAAAAAAAAACCTTCCATAAAAAGGAATAGTTGGTTTAAGAAGGAATTGATGTTGTGCAGTAGATAGTAGATGTAGCCAATAGAAGAAAAATCGTCAATGACATGGAGGAACAAGAAATCGAACAAAAGAGTGCCCTTGAATGCAATGGCATCTTAGAAGTCGAGGCTGGAGTGGGTGTTATCTAGTGGCAGATCTTAACCATTGATCTTAAGGGGGTCAAATAATATATTACTAATAAACAATAAATAAATATAAAAGGAAGAAAGAAGATGAAAGGGTGAAATGATACAATTGTAAATATATACTTAAATATATTAAATGATCATTAAGTTTAATAGAGACAAAATCATAAATTATATGAGAGTTACAAAACTGAGAAGGGGCTGAGAGGATAAAATTGTAAATATACAAGTAAATATATTAAAAGTTTATTAAGTTTGAGGGAACCAAAATCATAAATTATATGGGAGTTACAAAATTTTAGAAGGACCACAACCCCATAATAGCTCCCAAAAAAATCTGCCACTAGTGTTATCAGAGGTGTCACAATAGCCTTGGGAGTCATCCGGGCTAAACAAGTGCTAGGCAAAGTTAACGGGGGCAGTGTTAATCTTGCTCCCAATTGCTTTTTCTCATCTCTCTGCGTTCGTACCAGGAAGGAGCATGGGATGAGGAAGTGAGAGTTGTGTGGGTTCGTCACCCTAAATTTCAAATATGGTCGAACATAAAAAGTTTCTCCTAATTTAAAAAATATTAGCCTATTTTTTTTAGGAGTAGTTATTAACACTAGTGAAAAAAAGGGCTTTTACGTCACCCAATTGTCGTCGCATGTAAAAATATTCGACGTAAATAAAATGCGGTGCCAATTTTGTAAATAAGAGACAAAAATTTTACGTCGCGCACTCCAGCACGCAATGTAAAAAGTCCCTTTTATTTCCCCCCAGACCCACTCCCTGGTCTTGCGCAGCAAGGGTTTTTGAGAACGACGACGAGAACGACGACAACAGCTACCTCTGCACACCATTTTCGATCAGTTTAACAATGAAAAACATCAACATTGTTTGTCATTTTACGAACTTGATATTTCTCCCCGATTGGATTCGAGTTTGAAATCATTTTTCGTATACACTTGAGATTAGTGTTCTATGTCATTGCTATATGTTTAAATTGAATTCGTGATTTTTTTTTTGGATCTCAATCACGTTATTGTATGAATGTCTCCACTGGATTGTTATTGGAATGTAATTATTTGTTTATTTGTTTGAGTGCATTTTCGGTTTACACACTCCATTTACGTGCTTTGTTGTTTGTATATTAATTTCTTTTTACATATAATTTTTAAATCTCTAGGAGTGACGAAACTTTATAACATAATATGAATCGAAGTTGGATGAATGCACATCGTATTAGTGAAGAGTACGAAAAGGGAGTTGAGGAATTTTTGAAATTTGCTAGTGAAAATGGAAAAGCTATGAAAGGGACATATTATTGTCCATGTGTTCGTTGTTTGAATCAAATTCGTCATAAACTTGAGGATATACGTGATCACTTGTTTGTTTATGGTATTATTAAGAGTTATACAATATGGACATGGCATGGAGAAATATTAGACATCCCAACTGTGTCAACTACAGACAATTTTGATGAAGGGATGGATGATAATCTAGAGGATATGATACATGATATTGGTGAAGAAAATTTTATGAAAGCACATCTATATGATTCTTTGAAATCTGATTTTGCGCAACAATTATACTTAGGATGTAGTTTTACAAGATTATCAGCAACTTTAAAATTGTTTACTTTAAAAGCAAGAAATGGATGGACTGATAAAAGTTTCACCGAATTATTAGAGTTGTTGAAGGAGATGCTTCCTGAAGATAATACATTACCTATTCGTAACTATGAGGCAAAGAAAATATTATGTCCAATGGGTTTAGAGTACAAGAAGATACATGCATGTCCTAATGATTGTATATTGTACAGAAACGATTTTGCTAAATTAAAGATGTGTCCGACATGTGGTTTGTCGAGGTTCAAAAACAAAGTTGAGGAAAGTAGTGTGAGGAAGAACTAGATGGTCCCCCTGCTAAGGTGTTATGGTATTTGCCAATTATACCTAGGTTTAAAAGATTATTTGCCATAAAAGAAGATGCAAGAAACTTGACATGGCATGCAAATGGTAGAAAATGTGACAATCTTCTTCGACATCCAGCTGATTCTCCACAATGGAAAAGGATTGATGAAACCTTTCCAGAATTTGGTGTAGAGCCAAGAAACTTGAGAATTGGATTAGCTACAGATGGGATGAATCCTTATGGAAATTTAAGTAGTAAACATAGTTCATGACCAGTTTTGTTGATCATTACAATTTGCCTCCTTGGTTATGCATGAAGAGAAAATATATGATGTTATTTATGATGATTTCAGGACCTCGACAACCAGGAAATGACATAGATGTATATCTTAGTCCTTTAATTGATGATTTGAAGATGTTGTGGGAAACAGGAGTGGATGTATTTGATTCATATCACGAAGTGAATTTCAGGTTGCATGCAATGTTATTTTGTACTATAAATGATTTTCCAGCATATGGTAATTTGAGCAGTTATATTATGAAAGGTCATTTAGCGTGTCCTTTATGTCAAGAAGACACAAGTTATATCCAATTGAAACATGGACAAAAAACTGCGTACAATAGGCATAGAAATTTTCTAGTTGCTAATCATCCATATCGTAAAATGAAAAAAACATTTAATGGATGTCAGGAGAATGCAGTTGCATCAGTACCACGCAATGGTGAACAAGTATATGAGCAAGTGAAAAATATTAATATTGTGTTTGGAAAGACCCAAAAGAAATCCAATGAGAAAAACATTTGGAAGAAACAATCTATATTCTTCAATCTTCCTTATTGGTGTAAGTTGGAAGTTAGACACTGTATAGATGTGATGCATGTTGAAAAAAATGTTTGTGATAGTATAATTGGGACATTGCTTAACATAAAAGGAAAGACAAAAGATGGAATAAAAGCAAGACAAGATTTGGCAGACATGGGTATACGTTCTGAATTACATCTACAATCAGTTGGAAAACACACTTACTTACCTCCAGCTTGTCATACTCTATCAAAGAAAGAAAAGAGAAGCTTTTGTGAGTGTTTACGTGAGGTCAAAGTGCCACAAGGATACTCCTTAAATGTTAAGAGTCTTGTTTCTATGCAAGAGTTGAAAATAGTTAGTTTAAAGTCTCATGATTGTCATGTGTTGATGCAACAACTTTTACCAGTGGTTATTCGAAACATCTTACCAACTTCTATTAGAATTGTTATTACTCGGTTATGTTTGTTTTTCAACGCCATTTGTAAAAAGGTAATTGATCCAAAAAAGTTAGATGAATTAGAAAATTAAGCAATTGTAATAGTGCGCCAGTTAGAAATGTATTTTCCCCCTTCATTTTTTGATATCATGGTACATTTGATAGTCCATTTGGTAAGGAAAATTCGGTTATGTGGTCCAATTTTTCTTAGATGGATGTATCTTGTTGAGAGATACATGAAGATCTTAAAAGGATATGTGAAGAATCAGTACAGGCCAGAAGCTTCTATTGTGGAAAGGTACATTGCAGAAGAAGCCATTGAGTTTTGTTTAGGATACATGTCAAAATCAGAACCAATAGGTATTCCTAAGATGAGACATGATGGAAGATGTGAAGGTAAGGGTACTCGAAATTTAAAGATTAAAAATGTTAGTCGGAAAGAAGTTGACCAAGCACATTTATACATATTGAACAACACTAATGAAGTAATCCCTTACATATCACAACACAAAACTGAAATAAAGGAAACACATCCACGAATGAATGAAAAATGGGTATTGAATGAACATAACAAAAGTTTCCTTTCTTGGTTTAAAAAAAGGGTATATGTTGAGATTAATGTTTCAGAAACACTTTTGAGACTTGCTCGTGGGCCTAATAGTGATGTCATTACATTTGGTGGGTATGACATTAATAATTATTGTTTCTACTCAAAAATAGAAGATGATAAAGGTAGAGTACAAAATAGTGGGGTCACAATTCAAGCTGAATCTATGCATTTTTCTAATTCTAAAGACAAAAATCCTATCACAGCTTCTATGAGTTATTTTGGGGTCATACAAGAGATATGGGAAATTGATTATGTTACTTTTAGGGTGCCTGTCTTCAAGTGTAAATGGGTTGAAGGGAATACGGGTGTGCGAACAGATGACCTAGGATTTAATTTGGTTGATTTGAGTAAAGATGGGTATAAGGATGAACCTTTTATTTTGGCATATCAAGCGAGACAAATATTTTATGTCAAGGATCCATGTAATGAGAGATGGTCAATTGTCCTTGAAGGAAGAAGCATGCACGGAATTCATGAAGATGAGTCTCTAGATATACATGAAACACCTTCATTTTCAAGTAGACCATTTCATGACATAGTTGACAATGAAGTTGATGACATACATGCAATTCGAAGTGATCATGATGAAGGGATATGGGAAAACATACCAACATAATAGGTGTTTATCTTCACATTTTCTAGTTCTTTTTATTCAAACTTATAAAGTATGTTGACTTCATATTGTTTTGTTTTTCAGGATATGTCGGATTCCACATCTGGTACTGGTAGTGGTAGTGGCAGTGGCAGGAGCAGAAGTGGAGGTAAAGGTAGATCTGTCACTCGGTTAAAGGGGTTGACAGCAAGGAGGGTAGCTAGAGAGAAAACTCAAGTTGAAGTTGATCCACGTTCTGGTAAGGCATCTGGCCCAAATGCTGCTAAGTTTAAGAGCTATTTGGGACTACTAGCTCGACACCATGTTCTGATTATTACTCCATCTTGGGATGATGTAGAGGAAACCGAGAAGAACCTCATGTGGCAGGATGTTCAGGTATTTCTATATTGTTGAATACTTTATATATCATTATTAATTGAATTTAACATTTATTGGTCATTTCACAGCAAAATTTTGATGTTCCTAACACTGAGGTGATGAGGAAGAAGATTTTATCCTCCATTGCCATTAGATGGAGGGACTTTAAGACTTTCTTGACACGGGAGTATGTATTTGGAAAGTTTCAAGATGAATCTCCCTATCTAAAGTATCAAATTAGTGAGGAGGATTGGTTACGATTTTGTGCCAGCCGAATGGACCCTCTTGGCGGGATAAAAGACGTGCCTGCCCAACAACGTCGAGGTTGAATGATGCACCCTATGTATTGTCACGAGGAGGGTATGCATTATTGGAGCAACGTCTCATGAAAGCCAGAGAAGAGTCGACAGGAGTTGAGTCTATCGACCTTGCATCTCCACCCCTCGCTATGAGATGTGGAAGGCAGCCGGACAAAATCGATGGACAAATGACTTCGAGTCCGCACGAATCATTGCTTAGAAAATCGTAAGTTATAATGTCAATTTGAATTGATTCAAATGTGAAAGTTAGTGTATGAATTAATTATTGTTAATGTGTTGTAGGATGATTTAGTTGAGCAGAGCACCCAAGGATCATTTATTCCTCATGGTCGACAAGATATATTGGCGACAGCCATAGGAAAACCAAATTACTCAGGACGTGTGCGTGGTGCTGGTGGATCCTGGGGCCTTCGTGATTACTTTGGTCCAACATCATGAAGGACCACTACTGACTCTTGCAGCCAGGAGGCCTTGCATAAAATGGAGATGCAGTTTGAAGAAAAATTAAATCAAATAAGGCAGTCCTTGCAGCAAGAGTTTGATGAGAAAATTGAATCTCTCGCCCACTCTCAGCAACAGACTCAAGGAACACCTCAAACAATTGAACATGATGTTGTTCGAGTCAGCACTAAAGGGAGTTGTGCTGCTACTACTATTGATCCTTCAGGAGAATATACTCAGACTGATGCATCACACCAGTGTGAGTTATATGTTGAAGATGACCCCCCGCGTCTAGTAGCTATTGGTCGAGTTTTTGAGGGTGGTTTAACCATCCATGGTGTCCCTCTACAGGCAGATTGGACACGAGTAGTAGTTGATGAAGTTCATGATGCTAATGCTCCAGTGTCTTTTCCTAATGAAGAGATTCAATTAGTGGGGTAGGCAAGCGGGACATTCTTGGCTTGGCCAAGACGTTTGGTTATGTCACTATCAGCAAAGACCAAGGTAATATATATATATATATATATATATATATATATATATATATATTGTGTATTTTCTCTTTTCTAGTATTATAATTATATAAATGTTTAATTAATTGTTATCATTTGTTTAGGAGGACTTGCGTCGTGCTAAGCATAAAAAACAACCTATTATTGATGAGAATTTGACGAGAATGTGATGATGATTTCATCTCTATGTTGTTGACCATATTACCACGGTTGAGGAAGAGACTGTGTCATATACAATGGGATGTTAGAGTGTTTGGAATTGACAATTCCAGTGTTCTATTATACATTTCCTTGCCCGATGCTTTAGAAATTGCTTGGGGAAATTGCATGTTAAACATTTCCATCATACAATTGTGGGCAATGTAAGTCATTCTCATTTATGTTTCTAAGATTATAATAATTATATTCAACTTATAATTAATTGTTTTAGGTACATTGACAAATTGAGTGTGGAACAAGAAAAATCCAAAGTATATGGATTTATTGAGCCTCAATCCATCCAAAAATCTGGAAATACAAAGGTTGGAATCCAACAATATATGCAAACATCGATGAGTGACTCAAAAAGATATATATATTTGGCTCCATACATTGAAGGGTTAGTATTTTAATTTGTATTTTAATTTATATTTTTGTAACTAATTTTTCTGTCATACAATGTAGGTCCCATTGGCGGTTAATTGTAATCATACCTCGCGATTACACTCTGTGGTGTGGTTTTGTTCATTACATCGGAAACCGAGTCAAGAAATGAAAAACTTATTACAAGGGTAACTTTATCTTTTATTCATTAATTATGTTTTTAAATTGTAAATACATATTGAATAATATATGACTTTTTTTCACTTAGAATCGTGTCCGGAACTAATGTTCTAAGTGGAAAACCTAGAACAAAGACTTTGCAGTTCATTTATCCTAAGGTTAGAAACTTATTTATATAAGTGAATACCATAATTATTGTTTGTATTTAAATTTTGAAAATAACATTATGTTTTTTTCATCATTTCAGTGTAATAAGCAAACAGACTCGTTTGAATGTGGTTACTATGTTATGTATTGGATGAGAGTCATAGTTTGTGCGGATATAATTGATTTTTGGACGGAGGTAATTGCTTTTAACATTAGTTAAGTTTATTTAACTTTATTCATGTTGCATGTTTACAAGAGTCAAATTAATGTTTCAGGTATTTCAAGATCCATCTCCATTACCAGAATATGATATTACACAAATTAAAGAACAATGAGCAAAATTTTTTGTTCAACAATTCTAGTACATAAGTTTTTAAGTTCTTGTTCATATTATATTGTGTGTATTATGTAGTTTAGGTAGCTTAGTTTGTATTAACTTTTAGTTTGTAATAGATTTTTTAGTTTGTATGTTTGTATTATATTGTTTTATTATGTAGTTTGAATTATATAATATTATATTTTTAATTTACTAGCTAAAGAAAATTGAACATCTGGATTGTCCGGTTGTAATATATATTTGCAGGTTTTAGTTGTAAAACAGAATCAACCCAATTTAAAAAAAAACAGCAAATTTACGTCACGTATACCAATATGCGACGTAAATTTGTTGTTTTTTTTTTTAATTTCCGTAAGTTTTTACGTCTGTTTAGTGGTATATGCAACGCAAAATTACGTAGGGTCTTGATAACTGACGTAAATTTACGTCAGGCCAAAGGGTCCGACGTAAATTTATGTCTCCCATTTTAACGTCAATCTTAACTACGACGTAAAAAGCCTTAAATACCTTACGTAAAAGCCCCTTTTTGCACTAGTGTAATTTGATAAAAGAAAATTAAGGTAGAAAACACATTGGTAAGGGGTAGTTTCATGAGCACTAGTTCTTGAAGCTATTCATGAAAAAATGCATTCTACACATCTATTTGATGTAGTTTTCATCCTTTTGCTAACATAACAAATGTTTTTGAATAATCAATTCATCAACTTGACGATCCCCATAAATTACTAATTGAGCTTTAAAATACTTTATAATTTCGTCTGAATTATAAATCTTGTAAATATATTTTCATCTTAATATTTTTTTTATCTTATTGTCATCTATCATTTATTTTTTCTTTAGTTAGCTTATTACCCCTATAACATTTCATAAGTAGTTTTTCATCTAATAATATGAACACTTTATTTATTATATACCTAATTGTTAAAGCATATTCACCCAAAAAAATTACTTGAAATTTTAAGACACATGTTATATTAAATATTCAATTGTAGTTTCTTTTAATTTGACCATTTTGTTGACGTGTCTTTGTATAAGATGTTTAAAAAATAATATAAAATTCAAAATTATTAACTAGCTTATAAACTCATTTTAATTATCACTTAAAATTATCTTAACTTACTTTTTATATTATAAAACAATAAAATTCAACCAGTCTCTATAAACATTCATTCAAGTAAAAGATAAATCTAAGTAGCATGTATAAAAATCATTATCTATTATAACAAAAATAATATATACCATAAGATAATGAAATTCAATAACAACTCCACATATCACAATAGATTAATTAAAAATACCAATTAAAAATACCAGCAGTTTAATTATTATTCGAATGAAATTATATATACTTTGTTTTGTCTTTATATATTATAAACTTTATTTGTAAGATTTTTTTTCAATTTTTTCAAGCTCAATGTCTTAATATATACAATATTGTATTTGTTAAACTAAAATAAACAAATCCTCCTAATTTATTAAAAAAAATCAAACATAATCACAATAAATTCATAAAAACACTATTAATCCCCTATAAAATCCTAAAATAACCATAATTTGAACAACACAAATCAAATCACTTTGGGTCAATTAAAGGCTAACAAATTAATTGGTTTATCAATAAGCATAAATTACATAAGGATATAAGATCATTAAGAAAACAATTTATAATAAATCAATAATCAAATAAATTGCAATTAAAAAAAAAAATCATCCTTTTACCGCACTCTGAATTAGTTGCTCATAACCCTTAAAGTTTCTTATTACACACTCCTTTTAAGGCTCATGGATATACTCATAACTCTTATAAATATTTATAGAGAAAATTTTCATTTTCCATCTTATATACATCAAATGAAAATGCAGTTCAAAAATTGTAAATATAGTGTGGAATTTGTATATTCATGTTAACAAGAATAAGGATTTCTGAAAACTATTCCTAATTCAACCTTTTATTTTCCTCTTCATTTGTTTAACTTCATTTTATTTTTATAAAACATTTATTTTGTTTTCTGAACTCAAATAAACAATTCAAACAAGACAAATAAACAGTATATTAAGAAAATCAAGATGTTACGAGAACTTTTCTTATTTGCTTTTCCATCAGTGGTCCAGTCTATTGAAGGAGACTAATATTTGATAACCATTAATAAAAAATTAACTTTATAACAGTCTTTGATTTAATTTAAACTATATTTTATATTAATGGATAATTAATATACTCATCAATGTTTTTTAGCTTAAAATTATTTCTAGTCTCAATCATAAAGTCATGAAGTCTCAATCATTTGATATACAACCACCTCTTCAAACAACAATTTAAAATAAGATGTTGGATTCCATGCGGATGTCATGCAATGGAAGATGATGAAACACCAGCAAAGAGATCCAATGCATTGTCGTGGAGGGTAGAAACGAAGTAGGCGAAGTAATCTCCATAGTTGAAGGCCCTGTAACGAAGAGGGTGAATCTTCTCTTCCACCAGCTCTGGAGGCACCTCAATCTTCACCTCCTCTTTTGGCACAGCAAATAGTGCAAACGAGTATCTCTCTTTTTCTTCTTTCATCATAACTCTGTGTGTAGCAGCGTGGACTCTCCCATTGCTCCATGCCTATCAATCACTTCTATATATCATTAACTCTTCAACACCAATCACTTCTAATAATATTAATTCAGATCATCAACATCTATATATATATATATATATATATATATATATATATATATATATATATATATATACATACCTTCAACACGTCACCCATGATCACCACAAACCCCTCCTCCGGTATCTTCACCGGAACCCATTCCTGTGATTTGCTCAACACCTCCAGACCCTCCACCTCGTTTTCGCACAGAATCGTTAAGGCACTTTTGTCCGTGTGAGGCAACAATGCAGTCTCACACATTTCACCACTTTCAGGCACTTTGTACTTCATCAACCGAAAATTACTCGAACTCTTCAACTCTTCAATGTCCGAGGTGTACTCTTTCGGAAGCCCATAAGCCTCTACGAGCATCTTCATAATCACCAAACTCAGATCAAGCAACTTGGAGCTGGTGGAGTTCAACATCTCACTATATATACAATAAGCAACCCAGAGAAAATGTTAAAAAGAACAGTTCAGATATCGTATATGAACATAATGTTTTTATGTTATGATATAAAGTGCAACTGATGAAAAGTTCAAGAGAAATAATGTTCAGAGAAACCTCACTTAAAAAAACTGAAAAAGGTAAAGAAAGTTACTAATTTTATAAAAACAAGTTAAAGTAAAAAGTACTTAAACTGACAAAAACAGTCAATTACAAACTGTCATGCACTATAATTTTATTAAGTTTAACAAATATCCTAATTCATATGATCAGTTTAAAAAGAATATTGCTAATTCATGAAAACTAGATTAAACGGATTCAAATAAATGGGTTAAATAAATATAAAGAGTAAATAGTGTGAATGAATGTAATAAGTTTAATTGATTTCCATAAGAAACTTTATGTTGACAACACATAAAACTAAGAAAAACTTGGAGTATAAAACAATTTTACTGTTATCTCAGCAAAATCATCATTTCCAACTATGATGATTTGTTATTGAAGATAGTGCATAGACATGAAACTCAAAAACTGAACTCTAAAGACATATACGAGAGAGAAAGTAATGAATGAGCAGAGAGAAGAAAAAGGATACCAGAAAGTGGGGTTTCCCTGAGGCCACATGAGGTTAGTGAAGGCCAGAGAAGTTTGAGGGAGAGGAGCATCATCAATTCCAAAGCTCTGAGAAAAAGGAGTGACAGGGCAGCCACAATTGTAGCCTCTATAAGGCTTTGTGCTTTTGTGCTTCCTCTTTGTTTCTTCAGGCAAATCAAACAACTCTTTCATGCATAAAAACATGTCTTCACGTAGACCCTTTGGAACCTTATTATCATAAACAATGAGGAAGCAACCATGGCTCTCACAAGCATCCCTCACCTTGTTGCTCATCTCTCTCCACTCCTCAGTCCCCTCTTTCAACTCCATTCCAGAAAATTCCAGACACGGAATCATCAAACCCTCACTCCTCATAATTTCTGTCTCACTGTCTTATTCTCTCTGTGTTTAAGTTCTTGCACAAGGTTTCGTATTTATAGAGTTGGTGCGAGAAACCAGGGCCAAAGCTGGATTTAGGGAACGCAAATGATATTTTGACATCTTTAAATAAACATCAACCCAATATAATAATATAATAATAAAATTTATTATTATATTAATTTTATTATTATATTAGGCTAGGAACGAAAGAGATAGATATAGGGTAAACATCGTACACGAATTAATTACTAGTGTTTTATTTAAGCTACACGAATTATATGGGAGATTGAACTACATTATAAAAATTAAAGAAATTTTAGAACAATGAGCATTAATAGCAACACATTTTTTCTGAAACGGGTTCTTTAACAATTTTTTTATTATTAGCTAAACTTTATAAATACCATAACAAATATCCCTCGTAATTTTTCTAATATTTAATCAATAAGTATATTATATTTATTTGTTTATTTAAATGTTAGAAAATCATATTTAATACACTCTTACTTTTTACTGAATGTTTAGTCTTAAATATAATAAAAATTTAACTTTCTAAAATCTGTTTGATATTATTATTTCAAAAATATCATCATGTTTAAACTCAGACACCACTTCCAATAAATATAACTAAAATAAATTTAAAAAATAGATATGCTTTGAAAATAAATCAAGATTAATATTAAATAAATTTAACCTGTTTTGTATTTAGTATATATTACATAATTTGATATAAATGAAACGTTGTGAAGTAAAAAGTGTAGATTAAGGATTCAAATCATTCAAGACTTTTGAAGTTTGAAGATAATATTGAGGAGAGAGGTATGGAAGAAGATAAAGCTTGAATATATGTTCATGCATGCATGCCATTTATATAATTAGTATTATTAATTAAGAGAGATATGTTAAATAAAATAAATGCTTCATTAGGTTTCATTTTTGGCTTTTACTATTTGCCAATGAATGCTTCGTTGGGTATTAATTACTTGTTTGTAATTTTTTTTACAAGAATAATTATTATTAAGTAGAATACATCTTGTATTATATATTATTTTTATTATTATTAGTGAAAACATACGTGTTAAAGCATTTATATATTTATATTTTTTATAATCAATTTTTATAAAAATATTTTTTTCCTTCATTCTTTAAATATATTCACTTTTTTATTAATTATATATATCATATTTTTACTATTTTTAAATATATAAATTATAATAATTATTTTTAATTATGATATTTTTGTTTTTTTTCTATTCAATAATAAAAAATGGTTATCAAAAATAGGTGTAGTTATAAATTAAAGAAATGAACACTAGTGCAAAAATGGGCTTTTACGTCAGGTATTTAGGGCTTTTTACGTCGTATTTAAGTCCGAGCGTTAAAGCGGGAGACGTAAATTTACGTCGGACCCTTTTGCTCGACGTAAATTTACGTCGATTACCAAGATCCGACCTAGATTTACAATAAACAGACGTAAAAACCTTTTCAATTTAAAAAAAAAACGAGAAAATTTACGTCGCATATGGTATACGCGATGTAAATTTACGTCGCAAATACCAATATGCGACGTAAATTTGCTATTTTTTTTTTAAATTGAGTTTATTTATTCTGTTTTACAACTAAAACCTGCAAATAGTAATCCAGACAGTCCAGAGGTTCAGTTTTCTTTAGCTAGTAAATTAAAAATATAATATTATATAATTCAAACTACATAATAAAACAATATAATACAAACATACAAACTAAAAAATCTATTACAAACTAAGCTACCTATACAAACTAAGCTACCTATACAAACTAAACTGAACTACATAATACATACAATATAATATGAACAAGAACTTAAAAAATAATGTACTAGAATTGTTGAACAAAAAATTTTGCCCATTGTTCTCTAATTTACGTAATCTCGGATTACGGTAATGGAGATGGATCTTGAAATACCTGAAACATGAATTTGACTCTTGTAAGCATGCAACATGAATAAAGTTAAATAAACTTAACTAATGTTAAAAGTAATTACCTCAGTCCAAGAATCAATTAAACCGCACAAACTATGGCTCTCATCCAATACATTACATAGTAACCACATTCAAGCGAGTCAGTTTGCTTATTACACTGAAATGATGAAAAAAACATAATATTATTTTCAAAATTGAAATACAAACAATAATTATGGTATTCACTTATATAAATAAGTTTCTAACCTTAGGATAAATGAGCTGCAAAGTCTTTGTTCTAGGTTTTCCACTTAGAACATTAGTTCCAGACACGATTCTAAGTGAAAAAAAAGTCATATATTATTCAATATGTATTCACAATTTAAAAACATAATTAATGAATAAAAGATAAAGTTACCCTTGTAATAAGCTTTTCATTTCTTGACTCGGTTTCCGATGTAATGAACAAAACCACACCACGAGTGTAATCCAGGGGCATGATTACAATTAACTGCCAATGGGACCTACATTGTATGACATAAAAATTAGTTACAAAAATATAAATTAAAATACAAATTAAAATACTAACCCTTCAATGTATGGAGCCAAATATATATGTCTTCTTGAGTCACTCATCCATGTTTGCATATATTGTTGGATTTCAACCTTTGTATTTCCAGATTTTTGGATGGATTGAGGCTCAATAAATTCGTACACTTGGGATTTTTCTTGTTCCACACTCAAATTGTCAAGGTACCTAAAACAATTAATTATAAGTTGAATATAATTATTATAATCTTAGAAACATAAATGAAAATGACTTACATTGCCCACAATTGTATGATGGAAATGTTTAACATGCAATTTCCCCAGCAATTTCTAAAGCATCGGGCAAGGAAATGTACAATGGAACACTAGAATTGTCAATTCCAAACACTCTAACATCACATTGTATCCGACACGGTCTCTTCCTCAACCGTGGTAATACGGCTAACAACATAGAGATGGGATCATCATCACATTCGTCGAGATCCTCATCAATAATAGGTTGTTTTTTATGCTTTGCACGACGCAAGTCCTCCTAAACAAATGATAACAATTAATTAAACATTTATATAATTATAATACTAGAAAAGAGTAAATAGACAATATGTATATATATATATATATATATATATATATATATTACCTTGGTCTGTCTTGATAGTGGCATAACCAAACGTCTTGGCCAAGCCAAGAATGTCCCGCTTGCTGCCTCACTAATTGAATCTCTTCATTAGGAAAAGGCACTGGAGCATTAGCATCATGAACTTCATCAACTACTACTCGTGTCCAGTCTCGGCTGTAGAGGGACACCATGGATGGTTAAGCCACCCTCAAAATCTCGACCAACGGCCACTAGACGCGGGGGTCATCTTCAACATATAACTCACACTCGGTGTGATGCATCGATCTCGAGTATATTCTCCTGAAGGATCAACGATGAGTAGCAGCACAACTCCCTTTAGTGCCGACTCGAACAATATCATGTTCAATTGTTTGAGGTGTTCCTTGAGTCTCATTCTTGAGAGCGGGCGAGAGATTCAATTTTCTCATCAAACTCTTGCTTGCAAGGACTGCCTTATTTGATTTAACTTTTCTTCAAACTGCATCTCCATTTTATGCAAGGCCTCCTGGCCGCAAGAGTCGGCAGTGGTCCTTCGTGATGTTGGACCAAAGTAATCACGAAGGCCCCAGGTTCCACCGAGCACCACGCACACGTCCTGAGTAATCTGCTTTTCCTATGGTCGTCGCCAATATATCTTGTCGACCATGAGGAATAAATGATCCTTGGCTGGTCCTGCTCAACTAAATCATCCTACAACACATTAACAATAATTAAGTCATACACTAACTTTCAAATTAGAATCAATTCAAATTGACATTATAACTTACGATTTTCTCGAGCAATGATTCGTGCGGACTCGGAAGTCATTTGTCCATCGAGATTTTGTCCAGGCTGCCTTCCACATCCGATAGCGAGGGGTGGAGATGCAAGGTCGGTAGAATCAACTCCTGCGACTCTTCTCCGGATTTCATGAGACGTTGCTCCAATAATGCATACCCTCCTCGTGACAATACATGGGGTGTATCATTCAACCTCCGACGTTGTTGGGCAGCTTGTCTTTTTCCTGCCAAGAGGGGTCCATTCGGCTGGCACAAAGCTGTAACCAATCCTCCTCACTAATTTGATACTTTACACGGGAGATTCATCTCGAAACTTTCCAAATACATACTCCAGTGTCAAGAAAGTCTTAAAGTCCCTCCATCTAATGGCAATGGAGGATAAAATCTTCTTCCTCATCACCTCGAGTGTTAGGAACATCAAAATTTTGTCGTGAAATGACCAATAAATGTTAAATTCAATTAATAATGATATATAAAGTATTCAACAAATATAGAAATACCTGAACATCCTGCCACATGAGGTTCTTCTCGGTTTCCTCAACATCATCCCAAGATGGAGTAGTAATCGGAACATGGTGTCGAGCTAGTAGTCCCAAATAGCTCTTAAACTTAGCAGCATTTGGGCCAGATGCCTTACCAGAACGTGGACTTTGACCTCACGTAAACACTCACAAAAGCTTCTCTTTTCTTTCTTTGATAGAGTATGACAAGCTGGAGGTAAGTAAGTGCGTTTTCCAATTGATTGTGGATGTAATTCAGAACGTATACCCATGTCTACCAAATCTTGTCTTGCTTTTATTCCATCTTTTGTCTTTCCTTTGATGTTAAGCAATGTCCCAATTATACTATCACAAACATTTTTTTCAACATGCATCACATCTATACAGTGTCTAACTTCCAACTTACACCAATAAGGAAGATTGAAGAATATAGATTGTTTCTTCCAAATGTTTTTCTCAGTGGATTTCTTTTGGGTCTTTCCAAACACAATATTAATATTTTTCACTTGCTCATATACTTGTTCACCATTGCGTGAGTACTGATGCAACTGCATTCTCCGACATCCATTAAATGCTTTTTTCATTTTACGATATGGGTGATTAGCAA